AGGGCGAGCATGTTTGGTGTGACGGATATACATAAGACGGAGCACGATTACTGAAGACAATAGTTTTAAGTTAATTTTATATTTATTTTTTGACAGTATGCACTACAACAGTTTCTTTCTCTACAACCAGACTGTATGGGGATTAGCACAGTAATAGCTTCGCATTACGATAGTTAGGGTTGCTGGTAACTTATGAAGATATTAGACGTTATAAATGACACTAAAACAGTACCAAACCATACTGACAAGGGTATGCGTTTAAGAAAATACTTATTATTTTTCGTACGCTGAAGATATTGTTATTTTCTTATGTCAGTTGAGGGACATGTAGTGATCTATAGTGCATACATTGTTTTACTTAACATATTTTGATGAGGTTACTTATTCTATATAAAGGATGGTTGTAAGATTATTTGGGACTTTAATTCATACATTTAGTTATTAAGAAACTTCATTTCTTAAACTTCAAAACTCTGAACATTTTAAGACTAATTAGCACAAACACTTATTTCTTCTAGATGATTTTTCTCTTTCTAACGGCCTATTTAATGGTCGTTTATGGTGGAAATTTTGGAGGAGATGGGTACAATAGGGGTGGGTCTAGAAGAGGGCACGATGGCGGTGGACATTTGAACGGAAGAGGATATGGAAGCGGTGGATTTGGAGATGGATACGGTGGTAGTGGGCGTGGCAGTGCCGGATATGGAAACAACCGATTTAGAAGAGGAAAAGGCAGTGGTGGTTATGATAATAGTGGATCTCGAGGTGGGCTTGAAAGTAGTGGATACAGAAGCGGACATAAAAGAGGTAGTGAGTATGGAAGTGGTGGATTTGAAAGTGGATACGATAATGGTAAATATGGTAGTAGTAACTCTAGAGGTGGCAAAGGAGGAGGTGGCTATGGTAGCAGTGAATCCAGAGGTGGTTATAGCGTCAGTGGATTTAGAGATGGCCATAGAAATAGTGGATTTGGAAGTGGTCATAGTAGCGATGGATATGATAGTAGGGGTGTTAGAGCTGGTAAAGGAGGAAGTGGCTATGGAGGTGGTATATTTGGAAGTAGTCACAGCAGCAGTGTATTCAGAAATGGCAAAATAGGAAGAACTTACAGTAGTGGCGGGTTTGGTGATGGACACGGTAGTAGTGGATTCAGAAGTAACAGTGGAGGAAGTAGCTACAGTATTGGTGGTTCAGGAAGCAGATTTAACAGCGGGCATAGGCATAGTGGATTTGGAGGTGGTGGATTCGGAAATGGTGAATATTTTAGTGGAGGCTTAGGAAGGTTTGGATTAAGCGGAAGCTACAATGGAAAAGAAGGAAGTAACTTTGGTAGCTTTATTACAGGAAAAAGGGGGTTTGGCTTTGGTTCTGACAGTAATAGGTTTGGAGGATTTAGTGGAACTGGAGGATACGGAAACAGCTTTGGAAGTGGATTTGGTGGAAGTAGCTTTATTAATGGTTATGGAAAGACTTTTGGAAGAGGAGGAACAAGAGAATTTGGAGGAATAAATGGTGGTTATGGTGGATGGTGACAGAGCAACTGAAGGTAAACAAGAGAGGTAAATAACATCGATTTAATACTGATATTTTTTATTTTGTTTACATTTTAAGATAATTAACTTTAGATTTTTGATCCAAAAGTTATTTGGTTCTATTTTTAGTAAACAAGTTATACATTGTTTTCTTTTATGTTTATTTGCTAAAGTAGCCACATGATACAAGCTTTAAAAAAATTACGTTTTGATGTGAATATGCATATAAATAAGCTTTTAGATATTTTTAAGTGTTTTTAATATTTCCTAAACATCAAATATATTTAGCGCTAGCAGATTTATTCGTACCGTTTCAACAAGTAACATTTCATCCATCTTACTCACTTTCGCTACACTCAATCAATTATCTGCTTTTGAGAAACCTCCATCTTAAGAAGATTAATCTATATTATCATTTTTGTATTATCCAAAAAGAAAAATGACATATTCATAATTTCAATAATAACAAGATCACGGGTTTTAAGCTCTCTGTTGTCTGATAACCATGAAATAAGGGAGAGAAGTGGCCATTGCACGTGCAAGATCGCCGTGAGGTCTCCTCATTTACTTTGGAAAAAGGACAAAAATAATCACAATATAACACGAAAATATTTTGCTCCCCCTCCCACAGTGGCACAGCGGTATGTTTACGGTCTTACAACGCTAGAAACCAGGTTTCGATACCCGTGGTGGGCAGAGCACAGATAGCCCATTGTGTAGTTTTGTGCTTAACAGCAAACAAAGAAAAAAAACGTTTTAAATGTCTCATTCCCTTTTCACCGTGTTATAGTTAATGCTTTATTCTTAACAAACTTTGGCTCAATCATTCTAGCTATTATTTTATACGACAATTGTCGTGGAAAAAGTAAACTAAAAAGTAAATGTTATTCTAAAAACATTTAGTCACCACATTTCTTCTTTTTAAAACTACGTTTGTCACGTTTATTTTTAATAGCTATTTGTTTAAAATTATGCCTCACCCATTTACACATATATACACATTTAGTGAGCTTTTACAATAAAATAGTTCTTTTGTGATTTACACTTAGACCTAAGCGATTCTCTTCTATGTTTCAACTTGAAATATGATCCGCGACTCTTGGAAAAATATGTAGTTCTTGAAAGATGGTATTTCTTCCTTTACAGATTTACACCCACTGAATTTGTTCTATTTTGTATGTAAAGGACCGTGTTTAAGTTGGGCTGGACTCCAAAGATATCTCAAAGTGTTTTACGAAGAAAGTCATTATAGAGTTTCTGGTAAACAATTGACACTTCGTCAGCAATTTTTATTTCTTTATTTTGTTTCTCTTGTAGTGTTGTAATAAATATTTGTAGGACATGATATTACGGGGTTTATTTATTAATAAGTTGCGTATATTTTTGTTCCATGTACTGAAGCGTTTTAACACGCAAAGAATCATACATAATCTCGATTTTACCTAACATATATATAGAAAAAAGATATAATAAGAACATATTTTCACACCTCTGATTTAATCAGTATTGTGCTCAAAGTAGAGTACACAAAAGATACGTTTGAGGCTTAGAAATGTATATATATATATATATATATGCTACATCAAGAAGTAAAGGGGCAAACATTTCTTATAGTACAAAAATTACACTTGAAGACAATACGAAAAATCAATAAACATTATATATGAGCGCGTTTCGCGATGTGGGAATGCACGGCGTATTTTGCAAATTTTATCCAGTCTTGAAAAAAGAAACATCTTCAAAAGTGACCATTTGTTTGTTTTCGCGACTGTTTCGATTTACTTCTTGTTTCCATATAATTATGAAACCGTGTTAACTGTTGGTGGGCAGCAGAGGTTATTTACAGAAGTAAATATTGTCAAAACACTTTAAGATTATAAAGGATTAGAAAACGTATACATTGAGGATTTGTCAGCAGAAGAAAAAACTGTTCTAAGTCTTATGGAATGTCACTGGAACCACCTTTACCGTTGTTCATGGCGACCTTAATTCACTATGTGACATTAGGTACCACCTTTAATGTTGTTCATGGCGACCTTAACTCACTATGTGACATTAGGTACCACCTTTAACGTTGTTCATGGCGACCTTAACTCACTATGTGACATTAGAAACCACCTTTAAAAAAAATAGGTTTATGATAATTTCTCTACAAATGCCCCATTGAACAAATTTTAAGCACGTAAGTTACAGGATCCAAATTTTATAGTGATATCATGCTTGAAAGAATAGACAAACAAAGCTGAAATTAGAGGATATTTTAGAAGCATCATTAACATTACTGTATGCAGGCAATGAATTAGTTTAATTGACACTGTATCGCTATTTGCAACCTGTGGAAACAAGTACCCTCAAATTCAAAGTAGTAAGTCAATCTGATAAACACACATGTGGCAATAAAAGAGTGTCCCCTTCTTACTAGGTCATCCATGCAGTTTCTGCATCTGTTCGGAATATTTTGGTCAGTTGGAGAATGGAATTATGGGAAAAATTGTTCCGTTCTTTAGTCGGTGGAATGCCAAAATCGTTAATTTCACACAGTGAGTTAAGATCGCCATGAACAACATTAAAGGTGGTACCTAATGTCACATAGTGAATTAAGGTCACCATGAACAACGTTAAAGGTGGTACCTAATGTTACATAGTGAATTAAGGTCACCATGAACAACGGTAAAGGTGGTTTCTAATGTCACATAGTGAGTTAAGGTCGCCATGAACAACGGCAACACTTTGTTCGTCACACGTATCTTTGGTAAGAGTTTTTAAAAACGGTTTAATTTTACCCTACAAGCGATTAGCTGTTTTCAGTTACGGTAAATGCAAATCTATATTGAATATTTAGCCTATCATATTCATTCTTAACTTTGTTTCAGTAATAAACAGCAAAAAGGGGGAAGGCGCACTTCTTGTGACAATTAACAGTAGTTTGTCTCTAAAATATATAATTAGAAAGTTAAATAAATTAACGTGCGTATTGTATAAATGTCATCAACTTTATTTTATGTTTGTTTTTGTTTATAATGTTCACAGAAAATAAAAATAAGTGGAACCTACGAATGACTCGTTATAGATATCAAAAGGAAATATTTTTTTCACTTGAGACAATAGGAAGAAACACACAACACTGCTATTTTTTTAAAGATTAGTATCCTATTGCACTAGATAGGTAGAGATAAGATGGATTTCCCCAAGGATGCTACTCCAGATTTTATTTAATTCTTATCAGCTTCAAAGTGTGAACAGTAAATCTTTTAACATTAAAGGATTTACAGACTAGGTAACTAGGGTGATAAACCATCGATCATTTCAGAGTAATAAAAAGCTATGGTTGATAAAGTTGGAACATTTTTATTGGCTGCTTTGCATTCGCCTACACACAAAATTTAATTTCAAATATTGCTAGAAATTCACTTCAGTATCTCTCCGCGCCGCCTCTGTCATCGATTGTGGAGTTACTCAAAAAATAAGTTTTTTTTTTTTTTAAAAGTGGTCCAAGAATTTACTCGATAACACACAAAAAAACACAACACTGTGACACATGCGAATGACCACGTAAAGTAATAATGATATACATTGTCTTGTGTTTGAATTCATTTCATTACTATAACGTTACGTGTTTTATAATCGCATCAATATGACATCTGAGTGACCTCATGTATTTGTATTGATCAAATGTCTTTAAACATTTACATCAAATAACACTGTCTTTTTGCAGGAGCTGAGATCCCTGGCCAGCATTATAGCTTGTGCTGTTTGTTTGTAGCTTAGTGATATTTCTTCAAAATTCCACCATCACACAAACCATAGTAAATCATAAGTGAAGCAAATAATTTAAATTAATATTTGAGACTTTAATATTTGGTTTCAGTTTGACAAATTATCATAAAAAATATCAACTAAATATCTACTAAGTGTTATTCTCAGTACACATTTCTCTAGGTTCTCTAAGAAATGAAGTAGCTGGCGTTTAAGCCTGCACCTGCGCAGTGGCCAAGTTGATTGATGACGCATGTGTATGAATTTTCTTTGAGTTGTTTCCGCGTCTTGCGGATTACTGTCTGTGTAAAGGTTAAGTCTGCTATTGAATAGACTGTGTAGTCTCTGCTCATAGATTTGTTCTAAGTAAATGTCAAATTTTATAACAACACACAGAAGCAGAATTATATCCGAGTCAGTTATTGAGTCAGTATTCATTGTAACTTACATAAGTTTTGTTTACGTAAGTTTGGTGATAGAAGGGCCGACTTTGGGTATCTAATAGTAAGGATTATTATGTATAAGATAGTAAAAAAAAGTTAGTCATTCGGCACTTAAATAATCAATTGTTACAACATGTAAAACATATGCCTATTACTTTATAAACCGTTCGGATAAAAGGTAATAAAGGATAAGTCTTTCTTAGCCTAGTTTCTATGTCCAACAATATTTATTCTCTGACGAAGGACGTTCGCTCTAAACGTTGTAAAAATAAAACAGAATACTGTTTTTATGTATATGTGTTAATTTATTCTTTATTACCTTTTATTAATTTTGCTTCTGCTCACATCTTACGGAACAACAGTCAGTATTAAAACCGTGTTAAGTCTATTACAAAATCCCTACAATGACCAATGTTGTAGTTTTAGCAAGCCCTCTAATGATTTTTATTATTTTTTATCAGCTAACAATAAGGTTAAAAAATACGCTGACTGTCCACTGTATCAGAACTCATAACTAATACTGTGTTGGATCGTTTTACATCGCTATATTAGCCCTCATTCAGCGTGGCATTTAATTCCACAATATTCGGAAAGTTTAGCCCATTCATCGCGAAGTATAGTCTACAACCGGTGCATAGGATACAGTAATGAATAGCAAGTTCACGTTTATCATAAAGGTGCTCACGCGAATCTAGATTATGCTGGCTAAGAAAGATGACTGTAGTTACTGTCATGCTGTTCGAACAAATTTTGTAACACGATAAATATCTACGTAATCACCTTGTAAGAGTTTTATCTATC